TTTTTTTGACACTGGTGCAGCCCAAACCATAGCAAACCCTCTTGTTTTACCTAAAAACCTTTGGACAAAATAGAAAACCTTGTTCAAAATCGCTGATGAGAATGTATTTTCTCTAAACTTTATCAGCAGCCCTGTTACCTTTCAAATCTTTCCAGGTTGTCAAATTACTCAAAAGATTTCAGGATCTTCACTTCCCCAGAAAGACCTTATTATTGGTTTTGATATCATTATCAATATACCAGGTTTAAAGCTTAGTAAAAAAGGTATCAAGTTTGAAAGTTATTTTAAACCTTGGAAAAGTCTTCCCAATCTTTTCACCCTAGCCATTCAACTAGATGTTTTCTAAGAATTCAGACACAAGTTCATTCACTTTTCTTGTGCAGAAAATTATTCAGACTTCCTCCAGAAATGTGACCACCCACTTTGGAAAAACCCTAAATTTTCATTTCCCTTCTTTTTAAAAGAGATGAAAATGTCAATCTCACAAAAGCTAGTCATTCAAGGATGAACCCAGATCATTTCAAGCAAGCAATCCAAGAATGCTCCCTTATCCAGGCTCATGGATTAATTGAACCAACCTCCTCTCCATGGGCATGTGAAGCATTTTATGTCAACAAACGTTTAGAACAAGTTCGTGAAAAATTAATATTGGTAATCAATTACAAGCCTCTTAACATTTTCCTTACAGATGATAAGTTCCCTCTTCCAGACAGAAAAACTTTGTTTGTAAATTTAGCAAATGTAAAAGTCTTCTTAAAGTTTGATCCCAAAGCAAGATTTTGGCAACTAGGTATACATCCACAGGACAGATACAAAATGGCATTTTACATTTTTCAACACCATTTCCAGTGGACAGTAATGCCTTTTGGATTAAAAGTTGCTCTTTCACTGTTTCAGAAAGCAATGACAAAGATATTTGCTCTAATTCTTGATAATGCCTTGATTTATATTGATTATGTCTTACTGTTCTCTCCAGATGACACATCTTATACACAGTTATTGGATAAGTTCAACAAATTGTTCAACAGTATAAGATAATGCTCTCAAAGAAAAAGATGATCATTGGTGCTTTAGAAATTGATTTTTTAGGCATGCATCTTAAAGATGGTCAGTACATAGCTCAACCTCACATTACTCAATCACTTACAGATTTCCCTTATGAAAATTTTTCAAAGAAGTAAATCCAGTAATTTCTCGGTGTAATCAATTACATGAGTAAATTTCTCTCAGATCTTGCATAGTTAACTTATCCTCTCAGATAAATGCTCAATAAAGAACCACCCACGTAGTCCTAGATCTAGACAAATGTAGTACAGACCTTGAAGATAAAAGTAAAGTCACTTCTCATTTTAAAGATTCCTTCTGATGGAAAAAAAATATTACAGACAGATGTAAGTGAATAATTTTGGTCAACAATTTTTTTAGAAGAAAAAGATGGAAACAGACAAATCTGTGGTTACAAAAGTGAAAAATTCAAAGATTTGAAACTCCATTATCACTCTACACTAAAAGAGATTTTAGCTGTAAAGTATGAAATCCAAAGATTTGAATTTCACCTCATTGGATATCACTTTCTTGTGGAATTAGATATGTTAGCCTCTGATCAGATGCTCAATTTTAAAAAGAAAAAAATGCCAAATGCATAGTTACTGAAGCTATCACAGTGGTTCTCACAGTACTCCTTCACCATAGCACATATAAAAGGCAAAGATAACTTCATTCCAGACATGCTCACAAGACCTCATTCAAAATTTCCTTCAAACAATTTACAAATTATTCCAGTCATTTTCATGATGAACCCAACACCTCTTCTTCACAAGCCTCATCCTAAAAAAACCATCTTTTCTCTTCTTCTTAAAAACCTCACTTTGATGATGAACTTGATTTACCTGATGAATTTCTTAACCTTTCAGTGAAAAATCTTCCTCTAGAGTTACCAAAACTTCTTGTCACTCAAACCCTTGACCAAAAAGTCTCCCACCTCTTACTCAAATACCAGTTTAAAACACTCAAAAAGTTTGAAGACACCTCAATTCAATCTCTTGGTATGCACCCTAACTATCCCTTCATCCATCCCTTTCAATTCCCTGAACCATTTTGTTTCTCAAAAGAAACAGTTTATTTTATGTGGTACCTTTGTCACCTTCACTATATTGCTATAGAATTCCCACTCCCAAAGTTCAAAACCTTTCTCCACCTTCACTATATTCCTTTACTTTTTTCTTGTATAAATAGGATGATACTTTTTCAAGAAGAAATCATCACCAAGAAAAACCAAAAAAATCTCTTGTAACAAACTTTTCTTTATAAAATATGTTTGGCTAAAAACCTTTCTTCTTTTTGGTAATTTCATCTTCTTTTTTCCATAGTTAAAGCTTTTAGCTTCATGTTTCTCTTTAAGCTATTCCATAGTTTATAGTGATACAAGTTGAGTATGCTCTACTGTTGTCATAATATTATGGATCTTCTACATCAGAAATTCTTGTTAGACTGTTAAACAAATCATCGATCCCTTTTTCTCAGCCAAAGAAAAGTTATATTACCCCAAAATCATACTAATAGTAAGTTACTATAGTGAAAAATATCTCCATACAAGTCAAACCCCTAGTTCGACATTAAGCCAAGAAGGCACCAGAGTCTTGAACATCGGTTAGAATACCTTGGTTATATGTTTGATCTATAGAACACTTATGGTTAGTATTATCTTGACAAGTTAATCGATCTACACGCTGTTGAAAAAGTTTCAGATAGTATTGTTAGGACTCTACCACCCGGAGAGCCCAAAACTGAAGCCGTCAATTGCTAGAGCCTTGGTCGTACTACCTATCGCTGTGTATAGAAATGGTATTAGAAGTTCATAACCCTAATGCAATGGATGCTGAACAACACCCTCTTCTTCACAAGCTTTACCCTCAAAAAACCCTATTTTTTCTTCTTCTCAAAAACCTCACCTTGATGATGAATTTGATTTACCTGATGAATTTCTTAAACTTTTAGTGAAAAATCTTCCTCCATAGTTACCAAAACTTCTTGTCACTCAAACCCTTGACCAAAAAACCTCTCACTTCTTACTCAAATAACAGTCCAAAACACTCAGAAAGTTTGGAGACACCTCAATTCAATCTATTGGTATACACCCTGGCTATCCCTTCATCCATCCCTTTTAATTTCCTGAACCACTTTGTTTCCTAAAAGAAATAGTTTGTTTTATGTGGTACCTTTGTCACCTTTACTATATTGCTATAGAATTCTTACTCCTAAAGCTCAAAACCGTTCTCCACCTTTTTCAGTAGTCAACCATCAACCCTACCAAACACCAGTTGGACCCCAATCAACAACATCTTAAGTTTTTCTTCACCTGGTTCAGACCTATTCCCATTTGGATTCAATGGATTGAAACCTATAAGAGATATACCAAAGTTTCTCCTGACCCTCATATTATTTTAATCTTTTATAGATCTTGTAGCTGTTTGATAAAAGACCCCTAGTATTTCTTTTATGCAATAATTTACAGCTCCTAAGGTAATTCGTTGTTTGATTCCCAGTTTGATCACCCAACTGAATTCACTGAATTTCATAGACAAATTTGTGAAATGAATCACAAAATTCCCAAGCAAAATTGGTCAAAACTCCAAGATGAAGTTCCATGAGGAAACTATCCTTCAAAATACATTTACCAGCTTAAAATTGATAAAAAAATTTATGAAACCAGACTTGATGGTGCTTGGGCAGAATCTCTTTCTGATACTACCAGATTTGAACTTGACTATGCAGGACTAGTAGAATGAAATCCTTACTGGAAACCTCCTGAAGTTCTACCACAAATGGAATGGCAAGAATCTAAAGACCTTTTTGAAGATTTTATTCAGATCAATGGTTAGAAAACATTGGCTATGATTTCACAACAGGCGCAGACAACTCACACCTCAACCTTTCTTCAGAACACACTCATCGTTCTTTCAAATGATGATACTCATGGTGCTCCAAGACAGAAGATTTCCTATTCCAGTCCCATAATGTATAATTACGTGTGATAATTTCACTTTTTCAGAAGACTCCAAAGAGTTGATTATGATGCCTTCACATTAAGATAACTTTATGTCAAGTCTTCATCAACTTTATGTCTAAGTCAAGTCATGTTTACTTTATGAGTCACCTTTACTTTATGTTAAATAAGTGATGAGTCATAGTGATGAGTCACCATACTTTAGCTTTATGTTAAGCCACTTGTAAAGTTGTAATTATGCTTTGTCCTAGCTTTGTCCTATTAGGTTACTATTCTTTTACTTTTTCCTTGTATAAATAAGATGATTCTTTTTCAGGAAGGAATCATCACCAAGAAAGACCAAAAATCCCTTGTAACAAGACCTTTCTTTATATATATGTTTGGCTAAAACCCTTTCTTCTCTTTTGGTAATTTCATCTTTCTTTTTCCATAGTTAAAGCTTTTAACTTCATGTTTTTCTTCAAGCTATTCCATAGTTTGCTGTGATACAAGTTGAGTATGCTCTGTAGTTGCCATAATATTATAGATCCTCTGCATAAAAAATTTTTGTTAAATTGTTAAACAGATCATTGATCCCTTTCCCTCAACCAAAGAAAAGTTATATTACCCTAAGATCATACTAATAGTAAGTTACTATAGTGAAAGACATATCTCCATAAAAGTCAGGTCCCCAGTTTGACGTTAAGCCAAGAAGGCGCCAGAGTCTTGAACATCGGCTAGAATGCCTTGATTATATGTCTGATCTATAAAATACTTATGGTTGGTATTATCTTGATAAGTTGACCGATTTATACGCTGTTAAAAAAGTTTCAGATAGTATTATTATAATTCTATCACTCGAAGAGCTCGAAACTGAAGCTATCAGTTATCAGAACCTTGGCCGTACTACTTACTGTTGTGTATAGAAATTGAGAAAACGTAGCATCTAGAAAAAATGTAGTGGCATTTAAACTAATAAATGCCACAATTAGGTTAAAATTAGTAGCATTTTAAAAATAAACGCCTCTAATTTTTCCCTAAATTGAAACCCAGATTTCCTTTTTTTCTCTGCGCTCGATTTCCTTTCCTTTTCCGAATTTCTTTCTTCTCTGCAAACTGTTTCCCAGGTAGAAATTAGGTCATTTGTTTCATTCTTGCTTTCGATTCCTTTCCTTTTCATGTCGTTTCCAATCGGTTGTCTTTGTTTTCCATCTGATTCATTTTCCTTGTCCAATTTGTTTCGAATCCCAATCTAAATTGAGCCCTCGAGAGCTTTGCCGTTCATTTGTTGTCGCTGTTCGCAAGCCCCCGCCGTTCCCATTACCGGCTTTCATCTCCCTCCTCCTTCCATCTACAACAATGGTTTAAGGTTAGTAACTGAACATGTATTTTGTGCTTATTTTCAATTTTTTGTAATTTTTAATATTAATTTTTAGGGTGTAGGAATCCCAGATAAGATGGTAGCCATTGCGCAGCAGTCATATATCTATGATTTCCCATTCTATTTTTCATCAATAACCCATCCTTTTACTCTTTACATATTTTCCTTGTCTATGACCATTTTATTAAATTTTTTTTTAGCCAAACTTAATATAAATGTCCTTGTAATATGAAGGACCCGACATTCTAAATTTTTCGTTTCTCCTGATGTGTGCCACAAAATATGTAGTATTAGTTGCCGAATCTACTTGTTTACTCAAAATCCTCGTATGGGTTCCAATAATCTTTTATTTTCTTCATCTTGTTTGAATGAAGCAATCTAGGAACCCTATGTGTAATCCATAAGGATATTTCCTTCTCTGTTCCTCTTATTTATTTATTTATTTATTTTAATTTCCTAAGGGTTTCAGATTGCAATTCAACTTTAAACCCTAGCCCTCCAAGATGTCCTACATTAGTTTGAGGAAGTCTACAAGGTTGTAAGGCAACATTTTAAGCTAATTGTGGGTCAAATATGGTTGAGAACTTAATTAAAAGGAAGAAGGAGATAAATTGCCAAAGATTTAGGCTTCTCTTCACTGACCTGTAAGAGTCATGCCAAAGAGGGTGCGAGATAGTTAATTTATAATTATATTCTTTTTTGAGCACCCTTCTTTGTTCTGTCTTTCAATACAAGATAGTTGGTATTCATGAACCTAGGATGAGTCTCCATCTTTCAGATTTCGTTTTTCCTCTTCATCTAACATGATATAAAAATTTGCAACATGGTGCTTCATTTATCTTCTTATTAAAGCTTTTCTACTCCATCATTGTGATAATTTGTTAATTTATTTTTATTTATATATTCAGCTGTTTCCAAACATGTAGGTATGAACCGGTTCTAATGTCTGTTGACATCCAATGTCAAGGTGGCTGCATCATTTATATTTTACCTTCACATGTTGCCAAACATGTGGTATTCGATAGTAAATTTTCTAGTTAAAACTGAACTGTGATACTAATAACTTATTATTGAAAAGTTATAGAGAATATTGAAATGCTTGTTTGTCATGATTGTTGCAATCTTGGAAAGAAGAAATATATTTGCTTATAAGATTCTTGAACAGTTAAAACTGAAGTGTGATACTAATAACTTATTATTGAAAAGTTATTACTGTCTGCTGACATTGTCTAGAGGCTTTGTAGATTGATTACTTTCATTAAGCATTAGAACTTTGTGATCTGCCCTGTAATTACTTTAATGATTGTTTATCAATCTTTATTACATTCTTGATATTTTTTGATATATAATTTGTAGCACAAGGTGCTTTGTTTTTCCTTTTTCTTTTTTTAAATTATTCACTATACAAATCATCTGTCAAATGTGCCACAACAAATAAAACTACACCGTCTAAACACTAGGCAAAGGAAGGGGGTATGGCTTCACAATTTGACATTCCTGAAGCTGCCTTAATTCATATTGAAGAACCTTATGCTGTGGTATGAACATATTATATTATTATTTTATATATTTTATTGTTGGTTTTATCATTTTATTTTAAATGGTTTTAAATTTGAGTAGGCATTGCTTAATGAGTACTTAGAAACTTCAACAAATACACTTATTTTTCTATACAATAGCTTTGGTCTTGGAAAATATCATTTTTATAGTGTACAGTGTACTTTTGCATCTTTCACTTCGTAGAATAATGTTGGTTGGTATTTACCTCTCTCCTTGTGGTTTGAGCATTGCACTAAATCTTAATGATTTAATTCATTAACTTTATTACCTAAGGTCATAACATTTTTGCTTCAATGCGCTATTGTTTACTACATGAGCTTAGAGCATTATTACACTTTACCTCCCTTTGATTCAATTCATTGTACTTTACTAAGCTCTACCCATCCACATGAGGCACGTAGGCAGATTTCCTGGTCTTTTGATTTGAAACAGAAAACGGAATTAAAATGAGAAATAATCCCACAGTTTTGTAATTTTGTTTCTTTTCTTTGTGTATATTTGCTTGTCTTTTCATAAGTTACTCTTCTTTTGAAAAAGGGTTTAGGACTTAGAATGGAGGGAGGAAAATTAAACTAAAAGATTTAGGCCAACATTAGAGATACTGAGGGGTTATTTCTTTTTGTTTTAAATGCGAGTGCAGTTTGTAGCAATGTACGAGGCTATAAAATAACTTATTACTTAACTAATAAAAATATTTAATATCTATATACTTAACTTTAAGGTTTTCTCACTTCAGTTTGATTTATTATCTTGGTTCATTTGTACAGCCCTCAGCTTCTAACTGTGGGAACTTCCAATTTTGCTAATAAGAAATATAACTTTTACATGACCATACAATCTGCAGGTCATTTGAAGCATTGTCGAGAAACACATTGCCTTTATTGCTTGAATGAACTACTGGCAGATACGATCCCCTGTATTTCGTGTTCGTTGCCATTGTACTGTTCCCAGCATTGCCAAGTGCGAGCAGGTGGACAAATAATGTCAATTATTCAAGTAAAATTGACATCAGTGAAAAGAAGTCCAACTGTACTGAAGAGTATATTCCAGATATAACTGTAGGGAGTAATTCCAATCCAAAACTTTAGTGCATTCCAGAACATAAACATGAATGTCAAGGTGTGCACTGGCCTGCAATATTGCCTTCTGATGTAGTTCTGGTTGGTCGAGTAGTAGTGAAATTTTTAGAGTAGAAAGGAAAATTTACTGAGGTTCCTAATCTTTTAGAAACTTTGGTATATCCTTCAATTGTGTGTTATTATATTAAATTTTGTAGTTACATGTATATCGAAACAAATTATATTTAGATATTTAAATATTTATAATATTCAGTTTATGAATTTTAATTTGTTTTTACTTCTTCAATACTTTTTTTTTTAATTATGTAGTAAATATTGAAAGAAAAAAAATAAAATTTATAATTTAACGGCGATTATAATAAAAAACTCTACTAAATATAATGACATTTGTGTTTAAAAATGTCGTTAAATTCAATTGTTTAGCAATATTTATGTTAAAAAATATCGTTAAATTTAATGGTTTTTTTTAATCTAGAAATGTCATTAAAATAGTGACATTTTTCTCTAAAACTTTGCTATATTTCTCGACGCAAGTATAAGAAACATTCTTAGTGATGTTTTTTGCAAATGATGTAAACTTTTAACGACATTTATAAGTGCCACTAAATGTAAAAAAAAGAGTCATTAAAGACTTATTCTCTTGTAAGGATTATAAATAGTGTGTAATTAATTTATATTAATTTTGTGAGATGTTATGGGTGTGCTAATCTTTTCCACACATAATTGACTCCTAAATTCAATTTTCTTTTTAGACTAAAATTATTTTTTTAATAAATTTTATACTTGTTTTATTAAAAAGATAAATTTTTTTTGTGACCAATTATACCATAAAAAAGATTTGTGGTAACTCCTTGTGTTTTTTTACTATTTTTAATTTTTACGTTCAACGATCGAGTTTCTGGACCGATATGTTATAATAACTTGACGGCTTCATTAAGGACTAAGAGAGTCAAGCCAAATTTTTTAAAATTATGCACTAATAAAGATTTTGGATTTAATTGGTTTTATTTGATATTTAAGTTAATTTCTTTTATTTTAAGTTTTTTTAAAAAATATAAATAAAAATATAAATTAATAAACAAAATAAATTACATGTTAGTTATTATTTTTTGTTAATTTTGTATTTATGATTTATTAATGTTATTTTGATTAATATATTGCTTTGTACACTTTTGCATACGCATGTACATGCATGAGCTCTAGACCTAAACTTCGTTTTTATTATAAGGAAGTGAAGTAGCTATGTTCTCGTGAGATAATAACCTTTGTAATTGCTAGCGAAACATTTCTACTCAAGTCGAAGCTTTTCCATTTGTAGCCTTTAATGGGTAAAGATTAGTGTGCCTTATTAGTTTATACTGGATGATGATGTTAGGTTAATTTGGGAACTTTTAGATGAATAAATCTCTACCTAACATATCATAAGCTCTAGGAAGACTGCCTAGGGTAAAGCCATGCTACCTTTTAGAAAATCACCAAAAGTTAGGATACTATATACATTTTATTATTTTGTTGTATGATATGATTATTTTGTTTTTATTTTTGTTTATTTGTTTGGATATTTTATTTCTTTTATTTTATAATATTTAATTTTGTTGCATACTTCATTTAGATACTAGATTTTAAGAGGAGTATTTATTTTGGGTCAATCAATGATAAAAAAAGCACTCATGAAGCTATCAGTAACATCAGTCTCTCAATAAGAATTATTTAGAAGTCAAAGGCCAATTAAAAACACCCAAGGAAAAGAAGAAGATTGCTTAAAGGTTAGTTATACTTATACATTTCCATAGTCAGTGCATGTGGATTTAAGTCAGAGTGATGGAGCTGAATTGAAAACCATATGGCAATGATGAAGAGTAAAAAAGAAAGAGTTTTTTAGGAAAAAGTATGGGGTTGTGGCGTTGTTTATGTCACTAAAAATTGATGAGTCACTAGTCAAGGTTGCGATACAATTTTGGGATCCATATTAGCGGTGTTTCATGTTTAACCAACAAGACTTGGCCCCACAATTGAAGAATATTCACCTTTACTCTGAATATAATTTACCAATCAAGACAAAATTTATTCACAGAAGGAAAAGACCATCGGATATAGAAAGAAATTGGTTAAGATTATGCAAGTAGGGGTCAAAGAGATAGGTAAGCATAAAAAGGAAAAGAATGAGGTTGAGAACATTTCATCAATTTTTCTGTTAAAGCATATATGGAAGCATTTTGATGATGATTAGGGATTGGATTGTTTACTTTGGTTGTGTATGGGTTGCTTATATTCCCCGAGGTATTATGACATGTATTGGTATAATTGGTTGACTTTTTCGAACAACTGGATAAAGATATAAATCCTTTATTGACTATTTTAGCGAAAACCATTAGATTGTTAAATTTTTTCGAAGAAAGGGTGAGGGTTGATTTATAAGATGTGTTCAGTTGTTTTTTGGTTGGCTCAGAAGTCACTTTTGGAGAAAAAAGAAGATATTGTTTTGACTTTTCTTCATTCATTTCGTTTCCATCAAGGAGTTTGTCACTAAGGAATAGTGTAGGAATTAAACAAAATGTCAATGGATGTCATTTTTTCTAAAGCTTACTAGTGAGGATGTAATATGAAAAGCACTGTGGATGCTTCCTACAATCATTTTGTATAGTTGTGGAGATAAATCGTGGGTATCATTGCTAGAAATATGAGTGACAGTGAGTTATACACCTCTTATAGTTTAAAGGCAATATGATTCTTGTCAATTCATCCTAATGACTCATAGGCTTAGTTTGATTTTGACTATAGGGCGTCCGATTATATGAAAAAGGTCCAAGAGGTTATCAAGACATGGAAGCAGATTAGTTGGATGAACATGACTAAATATGCAGATAATGTCACAGAAGGGTACCTTGCATTAAAAATGAAGAGAGTAAATTAGGCCTTTACTAACAGAGGTTTTAGATTAGTTGCCTATTCCTATTTTAGAGCCAGCATTGTCAGTTTTTGAGATTGCCTAGTGAAAGTTTAAGATTGAAAGAAAGAAGATGGAAAAAGAGAATTTGACGATGAAAGAAGATGCATTATAGAAGTTAACCAAGCAAGAAAAAATGTTGAAAAGAGATTTGCAAGATTTTCACTAGGAAATAAGAGATTGAGGATAAACATCAAACTTTCGAGGGGATCCAAGAAGAAAGTGAAAGAATTAAAAAAGATGGTGGAGTATTAGAAGAGTAAAGCCCGAAAAATAAGAAAATGATCACTACACTCACCAAAGAACAACAAACATGGAATGATAAGCTTTTTAGAGTCTTTGCAAGGGTACGCAAGTGTCAAGAGGAAAATGAAAAGTTAAGGGCTAGATTAAAAGAGGAACAAAATAGGAATTTTGATTTGCAAAACTAGAAAAAAAAAGCTTTGGAACATGAGTTAATAAGTTTGAAAATTCAATTGTGTCAACAATTTGAATCAAATAGATAAGATTTTGATTGAATGGCAAGAGAAGGAGGACTATTAGGCTCATACCTATAATATGGAAGTGAAAGCTCTAGAGATATAGACAGCGGAAAGCTTAAGAAAGCAACAATACATAGAGCACTTGACTTCACAAATTTACAAGGTGGTGTTGAAAGCAAACGAAATGGGGAAAGAGAGCTAAAGAACTTATATGAGAGGTTGTACCAACTCATTATTGCAGTCAACAACTGTTGAGTTTTTTTTTATGTGAAGCTAGGGAGTAGTATGATCAAGTTAGGTATTTTTATGGGTTTAATGCAAGAATGATTGGTTGATGTACAAAGATTTCTATGGTTAATGAATGTTTTCTTTGCTAAGATTGATGCAAACAATTCCTCTTTTATTTTACGTTACATTCATTGCATGCATGTATATTAATAAAAGCAAAATAAAAATTATTATTATTATTATTATTAATTATACTATGTGTTCTAATTCATGATTAATAATTAAAGGTTTAAAGATAGTGAAACCAAAGAAGTCAGCTCAAGCAATCCCACATATGTATAATACCTGCTCTAATTCTCGAGTTATGAAAGAAAATAATACAATTAGGTTCAAGAGGTTAAGAAGGCACAGGAAGAGATAAGTGAGAGAGTGATAGAGATACAATTGACTATTAAGGCATAGATGTTCAAATTAAGACAATTGTTAACTATCTCCTTAAAAGGCAAAGATGTTGCTAGCATATAATGATTAAGAGATGAGATTAATGTGGAGGAAACAACATATCCTCCAAGATTCACTCCACCTTGAGTTCATATTTCCTGAGGAAACCATTTACAATCACCAACCACACAACCTTTCATTTTTGCTAGTCTTTCTGTTAGTCAACCCTAGTTTTACGTTAGTGCTGGACCTTTCGCTATTCAACCCTTGGTACATGTGAATGTCAGTTGAAGATCGGGTCCTGTCGATCCTATCATTGTACCAAATTTAGATGATCTTGTTAAATAAGAAAAATTATGTGACATGTCTACACCGATAGTGAGTGTTGAAATGAAAAATAAGTATGATCTACTAGAAGAAAGACTAAGAGTTATGAAAGGAAATGATATTTTTGGAGCATGGATGCAATTGAACTCAATTTAGTACCTGATCTGGTTATACCAGTGAAATTCAAGGTTTTCACTTTTGAAATGTTTGATAGAACTAAATGTCCTTCTGCTCATATTATGATGTTTTATCGTAAAATAATAGGTCATACTCACAATGAAAAGCTTTTGACATATTATTTTCTAAACAGTTTAACTAGATTAGTAATAAGATAGTATGTTCAGTTAGATTGGAGTTGGATCTATACATGGAAAGATTTAGCTAAAGCTTTCTTGGCTCAATATACGCAAGTCATTAACACTGCTCCAAATAGGCAATCTTTGCAAAATAAGGAAAAAAAACTTAATAAAAACTTTTAAAAAATATAAATATCATTGGAGAGATACAGTGGCTCAAGTCTAACAGCTGTTAAGTGAAAAAGAAGTCACAGTGCTATTTATTAGCATATTAAAGGCCCCATATTATGATAGACTAGTTGAAAATGGTACAAAATTTTTTTGATATGGTGATTTCAGAAGAAATGATTGAGAATGCCATTAAAATGGGCAAGATTGAAGGGCTTGAAGCTTTTAGTACCAAGAAGTCAGTCAACTCAAGAAAAAAAAAGAGCAAGAGACACATGCTGTGTCTATAGGGAATCCCTTATTTCGACCATTTATCTTGTATAACCCAAGTCCATAATTCCCTGCCAATTATTCAAC